GGATATGGTAAAAGTGTCAGATGTGGAGCCCTAGTATACAGAGATACAGATACTTTAGTTTGTAGTATAATCACTCCGTCCCAGTAAATATTTCCGCCCCATGATCGACTGTACTCATTGGTTGCGGCAAAGGATATTCAACTCAAGGCGGATGGCGAGGCGGCTGACTTAGGCATTCCTCAATGCGAAGTGCCCAACATCATGGAAATTTGGGCTCAAAGAAGGGCGGAATTGGCCAGAGGCAAGTCTATCCACCTGCATTAATGAATTCCTCATATCATATCTAACTGTCCCCAGATATATAGATCCCGTTGCCAAACCATGGAATGCCTCTCCTTCACCTTGTGCCACTCCAGTCAGAGCTACCGCGGAAACTGGTGATGAGGCCACTGGAACCCCACAACCTGATGCCACGGGTTCCCAGAAGGTGAGCTTTCTTCAACAGGAGCTATATTTTTTTTTGACGAAGTACTCATACTATCATGATTTCTTGCTGCATTAGGCCCAAATAAATATCGACTAGTCGTTGGATCCACTTTCCAGGCCTATCAGTTCCCCCTTGATAGATACTCTCCCTGTTGATACGATAAATCCAGATCTGACTTTTCAAACCACAAAGCAATGATGATTTATTTCTGCAAGAGCTCCTGTGCCCATCTTGATCTCCTGCGACAAACCATATATCTAAGGCCTTTGTGAAGAAGCACGGCGTGCTTAAGCAGTTACTGACGTTTGTTTTTCTACTCCTTCCCTTTTTAACTGAACGGTTTGTATACCTAACCAAATGGTAAGGTTGTTAACCTTGCCGATCTATTTACAATTCATGGAAATAGTAAGAGAAAATCTATCCCCACTGCAATCCCCCGTTTTTTATAGGCTGAAATCAGATCAATGTTCAGACGCATACATTATCTATTATTTATTTTGTTTGACCGCTTCAACCTTAAGCCTGACCATAATATACAGGCTAATCCACATGGAACCTCAGCGCAGCAGGTAGCCGACACCAATCCCAGATTCAATGAAATCAGCAAAGTATATTTTTGAGGCAGATTGGATGAAATCAGCAAAGCTAATATTTTGAGATGTGGTCATCTAGCCCAAGGCAAGGTAGTTCGTTCATCAACATGATTTATCAACTCACCCAAACATCTCTCTAGCTACAATTTTTAAGCTTAATGTACAAACAAACAGTCATCATGTTTTAAGGGATCCCACAAAGGTAGACCATGTTTACTGCATTGAAAGGTCATCAGTGCATTAGGCCTTTCTTGATGATCTACCCCATTTGAAATTCTATTCCCCTTTGTTCGTTCCAGACCCCCCATGTCTTTGTTATAAGAGATGGGCTGGGAGGGATGTTCGCCTCTTCCCCCCACTCACTAATTCCCATTTTTCGACCTATCAACCACATCAATATTTCTTTACTCCACTTTCCTGTAGTTTTCCCTTTATACTCCTACAAAAAGCTGTCTCGTAATCATGGAAG